TCCTCAGCTGTTTCTTGTCCCAAGGGCGCTGCACCGGTGAAAATTGACCATACGGAGCTAAGGTCATACTTGCTGAGCAAGTCTTTGTTCTTGGTCATTTGAATGATGATCGGGGGAACCTTATCAGTTAGCACGTGTCGGTCCGGCGTGATATTATGCTTACCAAGAACAAGCCGTTGATTTTGTAATCTTGTATCGCTTGCAAAGTGTTCGCGAACTCAAACTTTGGTAAAACCACCACACCGTCGCCACGATAGACACCAGCATGACAAATGACAACCAGCGAGTAAATGTGCGACATGGGCAAGAGGCCCAGTGTCATTTCGGTGTAGTCAGATTGGTTTCGTACATCATTGATAATTTTGTTTCGGTGCGGCTTTTCGAAAGTCGTGATTTGCACTAAGCATTATTAGATTGAGTCGTATTTTTGGAAGCATCCGGGACATCTTACGTGTGTTGGCAATGACATTTTTGTGTGAGATCATGACACCTTTCTGCATTTGAATCAGCACAGTCGCAAAAGGCCATCAGAGGCCGTTACTTACCGGCAGACCAGAGGTACCACTGGAGTAGCAAAGGAACGCGGTCCTTCGAGCACCCTCGCCGGCCCCCCAGTTCAATGGCGGTAGGCGGTCAAGCTTTGAGCCTTCGCGGATGAAGTCACCCACCGTCTTCTTGTCCTTGGGTGTGCTCTTTCCCGCGATCTGCTCTGGCAACTCGAGGATATATATGCGGTTTTCGGGGATTCCACAGTTCTTAGCGGCTGCCCGTGCCGTTTCCAATAGAGGAACGCATGTGAAGAGAGCTTTTGCGTGCGAGTTCTTCAGCTGATATTCGAGTTCAGAGGCGCTGTAGGCAGCGTTGGCGGGCGTCTGGATGCCACCTAAGCGATGGGTGGCCCATGCCAAGGGGAGCGTATCAATCTATTCATGTAAGTATTTTGACATGTGTGCTAAATTAGAGGTTCTCACAGTGTTCAGAGAGAAGACAGCAATGACCTTGTCCCATTCAGATCCTTTGTTTGGGTCGAAGCCAAGCTCCTTGGCCAAACCCCGGGCAAGATAGTCGACGCGTTCTCGAACCTCAAGGCTCTCGTACGTCTTACCTGTCAAGCCGCAAGTGAAAGGATTGTGCGAATAACCGAGCGGATGGCGGCCATAGTTCTCATCCAGCAAGAAGTCGGAGATGGGGATCGAGTCGGGCGGATCGAATGGGAGCTTTGGAACCCATGGTGGAGGATAGAAGGGCATGTTGAGTACTTTCTGCTTGTACGTCAGTTATGCGTCAAGCTATGAAGGCCCTACAGCGACTCACCTATTGTTCAGCCTCAATTCGAAGTGTAGGAAGGAGTTGAGACGCGCGAGTGCCCGAGACTTTAAGTTGGTACCCCGGCTTCCGCAATGATGTTAGTTCGTCCGGATACTGTTCCTGTTAGGCGTTGCTTGCAAGCACCAGCCCCGATTGTGGAGAACCTGGGGTATGCCGAGGTCATTACCAAGGTGGGCTAAGCCTATCTCATCGTCGTCGGGTTTATCTCGGAGCCTCACAAACGGCGGACTTCGGCGGATGCTGTTGTTTTGTCGACACAGAAAGGGGAAACACCGAACACCGAGTCGTCGAGAAAAGTGAATGTCTCCACAGGCCACTACTCAGCTAAAACCGATGACACGCCAGGAGGTTAGTAGCTTCAGGGCTTTATATTACCACCACGATAGTATAATGAGTTTTGTTCTTTGGGCATGCCGTCTTCACTATGTGCTAGAGTGATATTTGGAAGCAAAGAAAATAACCAGGAAGATGCGAGTGAACGGTGCTGCTGACGACATGAAGCAAAACCCATTTTGGAGTCTTGCTTTCTTGTCTACTAGGTAGGGAAGTAGCACGGGTTCATTGCGTACTGAACTGCCGAGTATTCTTAAATGCATGCAACATGATACCGTCTGTCCATTGCTCTTTGGTGTGGTGGACCTGAATGGCGAGATGGTCACGTGGACCAGGGGGTCATGATGAGATACAGAAAGAGAGGGAGAGAAAAATGGTAGAGTAAAACAAGAGGATTGAATTCGGTATACTACATACGGGCACATGTAGCAGCGTCAGGACCATGGCGACAAGTCGAAAACACCGTATTCCAAAGTGCTTCGAGCTTGCTTTGGTAATGGATGCCACGACGCATCTACGCAACGTAGGCCGATCATATTTGATTTCGTCCCCCTAGGTGGTGGGTGCCGGGGCGTGTCAGCAGCTCCCACGTCGACCAGCTTGCGCCGGCCAAGTGAGGATGCGACTGAAGCAAAGCATTCATATCATCTCGGGTTTAGTTACGTGAAGAGAAAAAGAGAGGCGGAGCGACGCGCGACTGAAGTGCAAATATTTCCCGCCGGAGAAACGATTTGTCGGCGCCGACGCGCACCCCACCCGACCATTCAGCGCCGCTCTCGCTCCGTCATTAAGCGGAGCTCATCGTTTGGTTGCCGCTTCGAGACTACGAGTCCGGCTGCATCGAGGCTGTCTTTATAAACTTGCGCGCCACGCTCCTCGAGTCCTACACAGTCCAGTACCCATGGCGTCCCTCAGGCCGATTTGCAGAGCGCCTCTGCGCCAGCTCACATCTCGTTTCCCACCTTCAATCGCCTCTCGAGCACCATTGCGACAATGGCGGGGCTACGCTACCACTTTGGATGCTCAGCAAAAGGTGCCTTCTACAGTACATAACTTGGTGATAAGAAGTTTACTAACAAGTATTAGATCCTCTCTCAAGACCTTGAACAGGCAGACCCTACAGTCTACGAAATCATCAACAGGGTTAGTTATTTCATTCAGCATCCAGACCCAGAATGCCCATACTTACTATACCACCACTACAGGAGAAGAATCGCCAAAAGCACTTTATTAACCTCATTCCTTCAGAGAACTTTACTTCGCAAGCAGTTCTCGATGCTCTCGGCAGTGTTATGCAGAGTAAGTTTTATGCTGCCCTAACACTACGCTAAGCTAATATCACGCCACAGACAAATACTCGGAAGGATACCCAGGCGCGCGATACTACGGAGGAAACGAGCACATTGATGAGGCAGAGCGCTTATGCCAGGAGAGGGCCCTGAAGACCTTTGGTCTCAACCCTGCCGAGTGGGGTGTCAATGTCCAGGGTGAGTCAGTCGCGATGATAACAGCAACCACATAACGGCTGACACTCCTGCGCTAGCTCTCTCCGGATCCCCCGCGAATCTCTATGCCTACTCAGCTGTCCTAAACACACACGACCGTATCCTCAGTCTCGACCTACCCCATGGCGGCCACCTTTCACATGGCTACCAAACCCCTACCAAGAAGATTTCTGCCGTTTCCAAGTACTACGAAACCCTTCCATACAGACTGAACGAGAAGACGGGCATTATCGACTACGAAAAAATGGCTGAATTGGCCCATCTATACAGACCCAAGGTTATCGTTGCTGGCACATCGGCATACAGTCGATTGATCGAGTACGAGCGCATGCGCAAGCTGGCAGACGATGTCGGTGCCTACCTACTCTCGGACATGGCTCACATTTCAGGTCTTGTTGCTGCTGGCGTTATCCCCTCTCCGTTCCCTCACTCCGATATCGTCACCACCACAACCCACAAGTCTCTGCGAGGCCCGCGAGGTGCCATGATCTTCTACCGCAAGGGTGTAAGGAAGGTTGACAAGAAAGGAAAAGAGGAACTGTATGACCTCGAAGGCCCCATCAACGCATCAGTATTCCCAGGCCATCAGGGAGGTCCCCATAACCACACAATCACTGCTCTTGCTGTAGCCCTGCAACAGGCCTCAACCCCCGAGTTCAAAGACTACCAGCTGCAAGTGCTGGAGAACGCCCAGGCTCTCGCACAACGGCTTGGCGACTCAAAGGAAAACGGCGGTCTGGGCTACAATATCGTCTCTGGTGGCACTGACAACCATCTTGTCCTTGTCGATCTCAAGGATCGCGGTGTTGACGGCGCACGTGTGGAGCGTATCCTCGAGCTCGTTGGCGTCGCATCTAACAAGAACACTGTTCCTGGCGACAAATCAGCCATGAAGCCTGGTGGCCTGCGCCTTGGTACACCAGCCATGACCACCCGTGGCTTCCAAGCCTCCGACTTTAAGCGCGTAGCTGATGTTGTGCATCGTGCAGTCGGCATTACCCAAAAGCTGGACAAAGAAGCCAAGAAGAAGGCCGAGGAGAGTGGACGCAAGAACCCCACTAGTGTCGCAGCTTTCAAGGAATACGTTGGTGAAGGTGAAGACATCACCGAGATTCTTGAGCTCAAGAAGGAGGTTGCTGATTGGGTGTCTACATTCGCACTGCCATGGGACAAGGCCCAATGATGAGTTATGACATGACGAAATCATGGGCGCACGCTTTGGCGGGGATTTTCTGGCGTTTTATTTCCTGAGATGAAGGCAAAAGGATTTGTGTGAATGTGTATATATGAGAGGCTTTATTCTTTTCACCAACTATTAGAACAGTGGCTTGCTTTCCGCCTTCACCAAGCCACCCCTCTCGCTATAATTCAACATCTATTGAGCGAAATCACGTGTATTGTCCGCTCATTCACTCAACTTTGCTTTGTATAAGAACGATCCTCTTCTCCGTCATCTCTGATTCTCTTATTGCCCTACTGCCTGTCTTTTTCGTAATTGTTCAACTGTTTCTCGCTCAAAGTCGTAGCATTCCATTCGTTTCCAAACAACAATTGAGCAAACCGACACAAGGAGAATCTGTACCACAAACACTGTAGCTCATCATGCTCAACATCTCTACACTCCTTTGGCTCTGGCTTTTCGTTCTTTACGCAGCCTACCCGGTACTCGCGCACAACATTGCCAACGTTACAGTGACAACTACGTCTACGCTCTTTATATCAGTCTTCGATTTCGCGCCAACCACGCATCTTACTCTTACACACCCTACATCTATGACCGCATACTCAAATACGAGTATCCAAGCGCTCGCCGCTACGCCCACAGTAACACCGAACATATATATCAGCAGTGAAATATATCATGCTTTGGAGTCTACGGGTCCAATTATCCTGGCAATTACTCCTACGGCCATTGCAACGAGCACAGTCGCATATGAGAAAGAAGACAAAGAGGGCAATGACCACGAGCCTTATCCACACACCACCTCTCCACCTCAATCCAAAGCCGCAAAGCCCGCGTGGGTCAACCCCAGCACCGCAGCCCTACTCTGCTTTGACTTCCTAGCCTCTACGTTTTTCGTATGGTGCTGGGTCATGGGCTGGTTTTCGTGGCTGAGGGGAGATCAAGACCATGCTTCTGTGATGGGACAGGCTCGGGGGCAAGCATATAGAGTGGGAGAAGCAAGAGACTCGGGTATGCAAGTGTTGGCGAACCAGAATGTAGAGCAGGAAATGAGAAGGTTGGGTATGGTATGATTACATGTCCTAGAGGAAGAAGAAAAAGAAGAACCTCAAATATATGAGGGGAAAAAAGTGTAGTGTAGAACTAAGAAATGAGAAGAAAGTAAAACATGGATATCATTCAGTATAAAACCCCTATGGCACCATGGAGATAATCCCATCAACAAATACGAAACCAGAAACCCCCCCTTTGCCCACCGCCATTCGTCTATATATGACAAAAAAAATTTCACTCTCAACCATGCATCGTCTGCCCCCCCGGCCCGCGCTCCCAAAACTCCAGCGTCAACGCACTAAGAAAACAAGGAATCTCCTTCCTGCCCTCGACCCAATAAACAATCTGATCGCGAATCTCGCCCGCAAAAACGCTCTGCTCGCCTCCACTCACCTTCATCGTGCCATTTTCGCCATCAAACACAATACTATTCTCGCCCTCCTCATCCGCCGGCTTGAACATGCTGGTAACTTTGACCCGGCCGTTGGGCATAAAGTCGAGTTTCCAACCGAGGATGGAAGCGACGGCCTCGCGGAACTCGAGGGACTTGGCCGTCCAGATTTGCTTGAGGCGCACGATTTTCTTCGAGGAGGAGGCGAGTTGGGCTTTTAGTTCTTCGAGCTCGTCGCGGGCGGCGTCGAGGGTGGCGAGGGGTATTGTGGAGGGGGGTTGTTGGCTGGCTTCGAGTTGGGCGAGGAGTTGGGCGTTTGCTTCGCGGAGGGTGCGTACGGTGCTTAGTTTGAGGGCTTCGGCGTCGGCAGTGGGGTTGGATTTTAGTTCGAGGACGCGGGTGCGCGAGGATTCTTTGAGCTTTTTGAGTTGGGTGTGCTGGGCGGTGTATTCGGATTCGACAATCTTCATCTTCTTTTGGAGCGCGTGCAGGTCGTCTTGGAGTTGGCGGTTCTTTCGTCGTAGCTCGCCCACGCGTTCCTCGTTCTCGTCTGTCTCCAGGGAGCGCTTTTGGCCCGCTGTTGAGGGAGCGGGCTTTTCGAGACTGTTAAACTCCTTTTGTAGGGTCTCGACTTCTTTGCGGTATTGATCTACGAGATCCTCGAGCTCTTTTATCCGCTCAGACTTTGCTTGGTTGTATGTGTCCGGCTGCATTTCGCGTTCTTCGTCATCAAAGGCCTTTACTTGAGCACGCAGAAACTCGACCTCCTTGGTTGCCAGAGCCTTTTGTCGTTCAAGACGTGCTCGAGCCTTTGCATCAGCGCTGTTCGCTGCACTTGTACTTCCAACTGTCTTGAGCTGTTGGATCTCCGCCTGTAGCTGTGCCTTCTCTTCCTCAAGCGCTTGAATTGTTGCTTCTCTGACCGAAAGTTCTGGCTTGATCTCGCCCAACCTGTTGAGAAGATCGGTCCTCTCTATCCGCTCTTGAATGAACGCCCGCGCAAGGTCTTGAGGTGTTTCGAAGAGTACCTCGCCGTGTGTCTCGGCTTCGGCCTCCAAGTATGAAGTCCAGGAGTCTCGCTCTTCCTCAAGGACCTGTCTCCGCAACTCCGCCTCGCCCAATTGCCGCTGTAGGTCGTCCATCATGCGCAGTTTATTTTGTAGTGATCTCTTCTCCTCCTCTACGACTTCGATAGCCTTGTGCTGTTTCCGGTATTGCTTCAGCTCTGCGTTCTGCTCCCTGGTCAAGGTCTCAAGCTTCTTAATATGTGCCACCTGATCAGAGAGCTCCCTTTTAATGACTGCCAGCGTCTCTGCATCCCCTGTAATTGCCTTGAGGCGCAAAATCTCTGCCTCCTTCTGTCCAACCTCCTCTTCTTTTTCCGCGAGCGCCCGCTGTGTGTTCTGCAGCGCGTTGACTTTGGATTGCAAGTCTGCCTGTACCTCCTCCATGCTCTCTTTGAGTTTCTTGTGTTCGGTCTGCAAGGTGTTATACCTATGGTCGTTCTGGCGTTGTGAAGTCGACAATTCCTCTTTAACTTCGTCAAACTCTTCTTGTATCGATTGCGCCCTCTCTTGACTCTCTCGCAACCGCCTCTCTAGTGCTAATCGCTCGTTTGCAGTGCGTGTCTGAAGTTCGGCCATTTCCTTTGAAAGCGCCTCATACTTTTTGGCCGTTTGAGTGCTCGAAGCTTCAACTTGCTGGGCCTTTCGAAAGTCGGTATCAGCACGGTTCTGGGCGTCTCGCAGTTCTTGCGCATGCTCCAACTTCATCATCTCCTTTTCCTGCTTCGCCGTCTCGAGTTCATATCGCAGCGTGTTGAGCTGCGCGCGGAGATCTTCATTGATAGGGTCGGAGGGCACAACCGTGTGCGGCGCATTCTGGGAGGCTCTCAATGTGGTTCGGAAGGTTTCGCGCAGAGGTTCTCGTTTCGCAACTACTGGCGCAGGCGCAGGCTCCTCTTCGCCAGTGAGGAAGTTGAAGGATGGCTGGTTCGTGTTGCGCACAGCCATGGTGGAAATAACTGTTGTTTGTTTGTTGTCCTGGAATTGAGATGGGTGAAGCTAGGTTAGTAGAGATGTGAAACCAACGGTCGCGACTAGGCCATGGCATGTATTTGAATACCGTCTCTTCGCTACCAGGCTGATACGGGGTTTAGCGAGAGTAGGTGGTGTGTAGTCCTTGTTGTCGCAACAGTCGGACAAGAGGGTTCAAAGCACCGCCGTCGGATAGGGCTTAGCGTGTAAGGTCCTCTGTCGCGCGCACGTGCTGATGTTGATTCTACAACCACCGCATCACAAACTTGAACATGTCACACAGGGCAGTGCGTATTTACGATTGACTGTCGAAACTAGTATTTATAGTTATACACACTCATAGAAATGACAGAATCTACTCTTTGATGTCTTCCCATGCCTTGGAGAAGACATTCTCTTGGCCGTCTCTCCAACCCCATGCAATGCAGTAGTGCTGTAACAGCAATTCAAGTTCTTCCAGCTCGTCGAGAAACTCTAGACCAGCGATGCGCTCTTTCTCTTTATCGTCGATCCATCTTCGCCAAATCGTGTGCGTGTCTGCTGCCTTTGCTCCAGTCTTCAGCCCGTAGCCCTGTAAACGTGTGCGCTGGTCGCCGAGCCCGGGGTATGCAATCAATGTATGAAGGTAGATGTTACGAGTCCGAAGGTTTGAGATCATGGTTTGGCCAAAGGCGTCTTGTGGTAGAATTGGCTCGTAAAGTACAAGGGAAGCAGGCGTCGTGGGCTGCAAATAGTGCGTCAACAGCGACGAAATTATTGACTGTACTGTAGAAGGCTGGAGGTAGACCAAGCACATCTCTGATAGAATCATGGTAGGTATGCTGGCTTCCAGGTTCGGTATCTGAGGCAGAGGCGCCTCATCTGTTGGATTGGCCAGACAACGCAAGTCAAGGGCATGGATATTGTAGTTATCTGAATGGTACGAGTCCGAGTTCGAAGGGATATGCAGTAGCTTCTTGTGAAGCAGTGGCTGCCGTTGTATGGCAGCAATCTTTGAAGATGTGTTTGTAGGAAAGTCGATTTCGTGGTATATCAGTCGCACTTGGGGATAGCGGTCGAGGAGACGAAAGAAGCGTGTGTCAGTGCCAGCACCGAGCGAAACAATCTGCTTTGGCGCAGAAGGGTTGGTGTCGAGGAATTTGGTGACTAGAAGGTCGATGGCTGATGTGCGCACGTAGGTTCCTCTGTTCAGCAGCGGCAGCTTTCTGGTAGCCGGCTGTGTTGCGAACAGTTTGGCATATGGGTCGTGGAGGTATCCCAGCTCTACACAGCTCACCCTGCTCCCCGCAGCATCTTGATCGGTACCCTTGACGGCATTGTCCAAGATCTGTGCCCGCTCTTCGCTAGAACGTCCCAGTCTACCTCTTCCAGATCCTCTTCCTCTTGATGACCCCCCGCGACGTTGACCGAGAAGCGTCTTGAGGTTTGGGATTTCGTTTGACGAGGCCATGCTTTCGTGCTCGAGACGGCCGCACTTGGTGGGGTTAGCCCAAGAGCGGCGCTAGGGCTGCTAGCGCACATGCACGCCAAGCCTGAACCTTTGGAACTTCTGTAGATTTCTTTGACGCGACAGAACCTCAACTACCCTCGCGCCGACGTTCCCCACCACATCCGTATCCAAACCCCTCTTCCGACCCCAGAGACTGCAAATATGGATGGCGAAAGGTACAGCCCAAGCTTGATCCGCCTCTGGAGGGTCTGGCGCACCACCAAGGAGATGATGAACGACCGGGTAGGTTGCGCCGTGAGCAATGCCAGACTGCGCGCTGACTCGATTCAAGGGTTACATGGTGGTTGAGGATGACATGAACATGTCGCTCGAGGAATTCTCACGGAGATATGCGCGCGAAGACGGCGAGCCTGAGTAGGCACTACACAGCATCCTCACCTCTAGCCAGCACTAACCCACTCATAGCCGCTCGCGCCTCAACTTTTCCTGCCAACCCTCCGAGGAAATGATCGCAAAGTACACCGACGCCCCGACCAAGAAGAACCCCAATCCTACCCCCAACATCGGTACCATCTGGGTCGAGTTCAATGCCGACGAGAACGTGGGCATGAAGCAGCTGCGCGAGTACATGGCACATCTGGTCAACGGCTCCTTTCACTCCGGAATCATGGTCACCGTCAAGGCCATGACCGGTATGGCTATTCGACTTCTCCGCGGCGCCACGAGCATCACCGACGGTCCCAAGGGCGGCGTAGAGGTCTTTGTCGAGCAAGACCTGTTGGTGAACATCACAAAGCACGAGCTTGTACCCAAGCATGTGCTGCTGAGCGACCAAGAGAAGCAACAACTGCTACAGCGATACCGTTTGAAGCAGACTCAGCTACCCAGAATCCAGTCAACGGACCCGGTTGCAAAGTACTTGGGCCTTAGGAGAGGCGCTGTTGTCAAGATTATCCGAAAGTCCGAGACAGCAGGTCGTTATGCTAGTTACCGATGGGTCATTTAAAAAGCAGTCACGAAAAGGTGTGAGGAAATCGACACGAGATGTTGCATATGGCGAGGCGTTTGGCGAAACAGACGGAATTTACTCTTTATTCTCCCTTCATATCATCTGCGAAAAACCAAATTTTATTCAAAATAAATTCACTTCGCGACCAACGTCTGTACCATTCGAAGATGAAAGAGCTGTCCCACAGTGTAATTTTGTGCTTTGGTTGTCTTTTCCGCCGAAAGAGAAAGAAGAGAGATGTGGGCTACGAAAGGGACAAGAACTGATGACCATTCTAAGAAGGAAAGACAATCAGGAAAACCAGTCAATCGTGTTAGCTGTGAGGTGAGGAAGAGGTTTAAGTAATTAGGAACCATAATGGCAAGTCATGCATGAAGCCTTCTTATATGGGCATCCATTATTATATAAAAAAACAAGAAAGACCCCTGGATACCGGAATGACTTTAGTCACCTCAAGTGCCATCGTCGAGCCATCTCCCTAGTCAAAAACCACAACCCTCCTCTACGTATGTAATCGACACTCATATAATCCTACTCATCATTATCTTCCCACTCAAAAGCAACCGGAGACCTAATCAAAGAAGTGAATATATCCTTTGCCTCTTCAATACCCACCACCTTCATCGTAAACACATCCTTCAACCACGGCCGTGGCATCAGCATCCCCTCTCCTTGGCTTATGTCCACAGTACCGTAGCAGTGAGACGATCTACATCCAGAACGACGATTTTGAACGAGTGTTTCCGACTGCAGGTGCTTCAGAGTTGACTTGATAAAACGTTGTGATCTCTTCTTTTGACCGAACTCGAGAGCCTCATGGTGTAGCTGAGACAACCTTTGCTTGCTTAATCGTAAGCGTTGTTCGTCGGATGCTTTGGCGATATCTTGACACAGCGATTTAGGCCTTCCCTCTGTGAGCATAGAAACCTGTGGTCGTAGTCCTTCAGCTGCCGGCCCTTGCTGAAAGATGAGATGATTTTCTAGAGTTTGGTATTGTAGAGAGGTTCCAGGCCGCCTCTTGAATCTTCCCACAAGGTGAATAAGGATTACCAGATCGCAACACTACCTCGTAGGCCTCAATTCCATCAAGGAGGCTTAGGAAACTGTCACCACAGCCCTTCAGGAGTCGGTGCCCGCTAAAGCGTAAGGTGACTTTACGGAGTTTGGCATTGTGTGGAGAATGTGTATGCAGTTGAGTACATCTTCGTCATTGACGTAACATCATGTACAAAATAGGTAATGTTGACAGCGGTGCTGGAGGGGGGTACAGCTTAAGCAATAGATGGATAGAGTAAATAGAGCTCAGGCTGCATCTCCCTCCAGCACTGCTGTCAACATTGCCTATTTTGCATATGGTGTAAGGCGCGCTGCACGTAACTTTGAGTTTCATCAGCGAATATGAGTGTGGTGAAAGGCATACCTTGGAGCAAAAGAAGCTCAATACTGTTCAATAAACACTGCCGATTGCTGATTTGGTCGTTTAATCGCGGACAAAAGGCTTTGTATTCATGAGTAGGATATTAGAATGAAATTTCTGTCCAATGAAAGCCTGTTTGAAAATTTCGATTTCCGCAGAACATATATGCTTGATTGGTACTTCACAGTATCCTTTCTTTTTCCTGAGAGTTTGATTATGAACATTAGATAGAATAATGGCCAAGAAATGCGCTGCCAAGTCAACTGATATGCTTAGTGAAGGTAGGTCAAGAGACAAAAGAAGAAAGGTGAATGAGGCGTCCCATGTTCCGTGTTCAGTGTCCCATGTTGCGTACGCGTCGACGGGTTCGCGTATGGAGGGCGAAAGCACGTGGGTGAGGTCCGCGATATCACTGCCCCGCACCACCGGCTCAGAACACAAGTGCGTACTCACGTACTCGAATCAATTGTGGGTCAGTTATAGAGCTGGAATTATTGTCTGTTATTCAGCTAGCAAGTCCAGAGCGAGAATATGCAGGAGGCTGTTCAAAGTAGGCATAGCCTCAAGACGCTGATAGGTTGCCTAGGTGGGGAGGGTATTGGTACGGCAATGGACGAGTCAAGTAGTATCTGCATCCTTCTTAGCTTGTTCCTTTTTCCACGCCCTTCAGACTGTACACCTCGTATCTTACGTGGCCGGAGGTGAGCAAGTACCAGTACAAATACAAGTACAAGTGCTGTTGATTACAATTGACCCACTACTACCGCCGCTTCCCAAATACATCATTGAGAAAACCATCATGTCCAGCATCGCATCTGCTTCGGCGAATCAGGCCAACACATTCGAGGACCTTAGCGGTATCTCGACTTCAGCTTTTAGCAATCCATACGATGCATTGATTGCAGCCTGTGAGGACGATCCGGTAAGAGGATACCTGCGTTAGGCCATTAGCATGCTGAGCAGCCATCGTAGGCAAGGATCCAAGAAAAGTACCAGCTACATCGCGCGACGAGAAACTCTCAACAAAAAGCCAAAATCCTTCACGAAGATTTTCCCGGAGTCACCATAGATCAGATTCTTTTGCGAAAGTGCGATCCCACTATTGAACCTGGGTTCGAGGATCCGCGCAACTGCTTCGTTTTCTGGGGGCGGCCAACGCACCACGTCAAAGACTTGATACATCGAGTACAGCAGGAGCTACGCACCGTCGCGCCTAGTAAGTAACAACCGGTAACTAGTGAGGATAGACACGCTGACGTATTAAGACCTCTGGCTTATGCCGCGGGACAATCTCCATATCACGGCTTTGGAAGTGACGCACTCGAAAACTGCCCCAGAGATTCAAAAACTAGTGGATAGTGTACGAGATAAGATTCCAGCCATGACCGACTATACGTATGATCACCGCGCGCGTCTCATCAAGCCTTTGATTGGCTACGATGCTTCGGCGCTGGCTCTAAGCTTCGTACCAGCGGCCGGGGAAGGACTGCATGACGGCCGCACCCTAGAGGACGACAAGTTCACCTACCACCACCTCCGCCGAGACATGTTTTCTCTATGCCGCGATGCAGGCTTGAATGTCGACTCTCGATACGTTGTGCCATCAAGCCATCTCACCATCGGCCGGTTCATCTATTCCAAGGACTTTGAGAATGAACAAGGCGCCTCCGATCCGGAAAAGATCAAGGCTCTGGTCAGTAAAATCGAAGAGATCAATGACTGGCTCCAGAAAGAGTTTTGGCCGGAGCATAACGACGGGAAGATTCCTGACGGAGGAGAATTCAATTTGGGACAGGAGAAGGGACTGCACTGTGGCACGGGCACTCTCTGGTATGGTGGTGGAGAAGCGGTACACCAAGGCAAAGGTTATTGACGTGCTGCTGTGAGACGACTGGACAACAACGATAATCATACAGCAACTGTACCGAAGTAACATACTTTTTCAACATGTTTAAGCGAACTCTAAGTCGAGTTTCATTGATCGCCTCTCACTATAACCTTTTTGAAGGAGACTGTGCTCACTTTATGCCAGAGCGATATGACGGCATTAAGCATATTCCAAGCTACCGATGATGCATTGTCGCTAAGCTTGCGGGGAGCTTTATCCGATAGCTTGTGCAGGCGGGGGGGCAGATAGATGCCATAACGATTGCTCCACACTGCGGGATAGAGCTTGGTTTGGGTGTACTAGGCGAACAGCGAGGCTGATACACCTGCAGGCCCGCCGCTCCTCGCCCACAGGCCAATAATCAAGAAAGCATGGAAAATAAAATGACTGTGGGTCCAGCGGCACCCACAAGGGCGGGAGTATGATGTTAAATTCGGGATTTGCGGGTGAAGAACGCCTAACCCGAGAGATGCGGCAATGTAATATGGGGTCGATACTAGATGCCCTGGTCACGATCTGGGGACATGATGCTATTCGCATCGCACATGACAATATCGTAGCCACTGCACCGCCTCACCCATCCATAGTAGCTTCCGGCCTTTTACTTCTGGCACGACGATGGTTTCTCTTACTCCCAACCACCTGAAGATTGTCGCAATGTCGTCGCGCAGGCTGAATTTGGGGTTCCATGCATGCAGCACTGCCTCGTGCGGGGACACTTGGTTGGCTCAGAGGAGCGCATTTTCGCCCCCATCTCTGCTGTAACCGCCAAAGCCACCTCCCGCATGGTTCGGGCGACAAGGGCCGCGATTGCAGCAAGAATTGTCCAGATTCACGCAGCTGCGCCGCACCCACCTGCCCAATGTTGTTACGGCAAGTCTTTCGATTAGCTAGCTGCCTTGAACAAAAGATGCATATCATATTCCTTGCAGCTTTTCGCATCTGATCCTGTTCTACTATTGTTACAAATCATCGAATCAAATACACTCTCTGAACAATGGTCACACTCTCAGGCCTATCGCATATGCTACGATCTACGCAATTGCTGTCCATTAGAGCGGAAAAGCTCGAGGAAACCGAATCAGCGCTTCCTGGCATCAAGCGCGGCATTGCAATCGGTGCAGCGTGCTCTGTATCAGTCGTCCTCATCGCCATCCTCGCTTTCCTAGCCATCAGACGACGAAACCGCATTCTTGCCCAGAGATTGCAACACCAGACACCGGAAGCACGAGGTGTGGAAGCGCAGCCTCAAGAGAAGACTTGGTGGCCGCATGCACCCCCACCCGTCCTGCCAGTAGCAACGTTACCACCTCCACCACCACCCGTCGAAGTCGACGCTCATATAATCCATGAGCTCGACGCAGGACAAACGCCCGAGCTCCACGGCGAAACTCGTCCACAAGAAGTAGATGGAATTGGCAAACCCCAGAATGCGCCGGAAGAAGCAGAAGAGCTGTACGTGCAAAGGCTGAAGCAATGGAAAGACTGGAACACGGTATCCGAGGCCGATCCCGCGCAGCCAAATAACGAAGTGACGCGGTGGAGTGTACCGCTGTTGATGGTTTCGCCGCCAGGAACCACGCGCGGCGATGTGTCTCCGTTGCTGCGCTCGTCGTGGGATCTCTCTTCGCGAGGCGCCTCGCCGATATCGCCACCTGCAACCGCCCACTTTCCACCCGGACACGTGCCTTGAAGCGTTGCCCCTCCCCATGAAGGCCGAGACAGATAAAAACTCATCTCTCAATCATGCAAAGTAAATACGACTGCATGTAACGTATGCTGAGCTTGCAGAAAGAATCTCCAGAAACGCCATTTCAAACCCACCTTCCCCTCTCTTCTGGACTTGGAAAAAGTTAAAGCTCTCGGGGGGAGGCGCCAAGAAATCTTGGGGGGAAAACAAGAGAAATTCGTTATATATATTCGTAAAGACCGTTCGCCATCTACGTATGGATTATGCGGGGATATCAGCGGTGGTGCGCCCCTACCCGCTAGGAGTCAAATTTCTTGACGTCGTAGCCTTTGAAATCGATGCCGCCCTTGACATCGCTCCTCCTGCTGTTATTCCTGCTAAATCCAAACTCATCACGGTCACCAGGTTCGTCGAGCGGCGCATCAGCAAAGAGACGCTCGCGATCTTTCTTCTCTGCAACCGCCCCGATGGCGGCATCTGAACCTTCTAACTCGGCCACGAACTCTGGGTCGCCTGGGACTTCGACGGGACCCATGTGGGCAGCCAGCTCGGACGCTCGTCTTTCGGCTTCCATTTCTCGAATGCTGGGGGCGCCGTATTCTTTGTTGGCGAGGCCGGCTTCGGTGTCAGGTGTCGATGAGCCGAGTGAGGCTTTGCTCATTCTGCGCCTTCGTCTGCGGCGTATGAAGAGCCATGCTCCTAAGGCTAGGAGAAGTAGTGCAAGGGCGACTCCGACTCCGATTCCTGCACTTTCTGCCGGGCCGAACGTGTCCTTGGATGACCCCGATGATTCTGAGTAGCCTGATATTCCTGAGGTTTCTGATGTTCCTGATGCTCCTGGTGTTGCAGCTGTTGATGATGGCACAGTACTGGCCTGAGATCCGGTCGCGGTAGGTAGAGCCGCAGAGACTGCTTGAGCAGAGTTTGTGTCTTTGGGTGGCGGTGGTCCTGGCTTCGGGTCTTCATCGTCCTTGTCTCTCACAACATACGAGGCACGGTGCGCGGAATTGGCCATGGCGGCAGAGATTATGGTTGTAAGATGGGGAAAGCGTTGAGGATAAGCCAATCCTGCAGATAGAAAGGGTATATTAATGTACAAGATTGCTACGTGCCGTCATGTGACGATCTTGCTGTTTTCATCAAGATTAGTAGTCAAGGGAGCCCCGACCTTTATCAACCTGTTTAAAAAGAAGATCACCTTGGAGTTACCCCACTTCTGAACACTCAACGGCGGTATCGCCCAGGGCGCGGTGTACAGCCTGGTGAAGTGTACCCAGTAATCCTGGTGCTCATGCATAGGCATTGGCGTGGCGTTCATCGCTCAATTGGACGCGGCACTTGTAGCCTGTCTTGTTGTGGACATAGCCACCTTCTCCTCAGCAAGATTTCGAATCACTCCATCTTGGCGCCCGAGTGCTCAGCCAGAGTACCTGTGAGAGTGCGGAAATATACCGGGGTGGCTCCGAATGGGTAGCTCAAGAGCCTGGGATACTACTGAGGGGTTACGCGGCGGCCGGGGCTTCGCGGCGAGATGGTAGGAAAGCCAAGAATGGGCAGCAACCAGCAGCGAGTAACCAGTCGTCAGAGATAGAGCACGGGGTGCTATGATGTTCACATCTGAGTTGTCGGGACCAGACTGCTGCTACAACTACGTACTTAGCTCGCCACTGACAGGAAAGATAAGCCCGTGATGATCCTCTGCCGTTTGCGAGTGCGAGTATTATGACAACGGCTCGGCGCTATTTTCGCTCGCTCTTGGTGTGCTTGCGGAGAAGGCGGATCGGCCATGACGTCCAGATCAACGTTTGTCAAGTAATAATGCTATGTACCAAGAGGCTCGCGTCAGCTTCACGGTAATTGGAGGCGCCAAAGCATGTACGTGTGTTGGAGTTGTGTTCGAGTGAATAGAAACTCCGCGTGATGTGTCGCGACAGAAGTTGTGAAGATCGACTTTACTTTGGACCTGGAAAACGCCGGTACATATACTAGGCAGTTGGTGTGCGGTAATTGCATGTAGTAGTCGAGAGGATTTGTACGTGTTCGCCGCGGAGTACCGGTCGGTAGTTGACAGATGCAGATGGAAGAGGCCGGCTGGGCGGAACGCTTGCCCCGAATCTGGGGGTCGGAAGGCGAGTGAAGGCTGACCCTCCCGTTTTCGTCCTTAGGCCCCCCTCCAGCCACACAAATACACTACACACACCTCTCGCATCTCACCTCGCTCTGTCCGCCAACGCCAACGCCGTCGCGCCCTCTTGTTTCAATCATTGTTGAGAGGCATGGCTAACCTTGCAGTCACCAGTCGCCGTTGCCGCCGACGAACTATCGACATGGGCAAACTATGGCGTACCGGAAACTACCACTTGCACTAACAAAAGAAACAATAAGCCGGTGCCCATAAGCGCCTAAGTATGACTCCTGCGGCGGTCCCCGTGTCTCTATGAAAGCTGGTGCCGCGGCCATCCAGCACAAACAGAACAGATGAACATTGTCTGCAAAGACATCCTGTTATTAAGCAAGATGTCCTGTTTTCAAGCAATTTGCGAAAACAGCCACGAGCTCGCTAGGCAATTCATCTGATGCCTGGTGTCGTTGTCCTGCAACATCTTAATATAGATGCTGTTGAGTACCGAAGGTTAGACGAATGCAGCTTTGCGAAACTTCATTTGTGCAACCCAGCCATTCCTCGCCCAACAGACGGGCTTGTGGGCTTCTAGATTACGAGCCTACTGCTGGATCGGTCATCTCAGGGGAATCTGGGGACAACTAACTTTCCCATGCCGCGCTTACATATATCTAGCCGTCTGAACCAAAGCTATACCCACATTCGAAGCTTGCAGAGGCTATTCTCTAGTCACTTCTGCCATTACACAATTGGTCGTACATGCGAGTCATTGTTTTCGTCGTCGATCATCTTGGTAGAAAATCGAGGACATTAAACCCCTGGATACCGCTATTGATGATAGGCGAACGACCCAGGAATCCAGCTAGATGTAACGTCCACTACGTACGCATTGACCCAAGATAACACGCTTCTGTACCTTTATGCCGAACGCTCCTCTGACACTGCCCTGGCCTGGTCACTTTGTAGGCACACTGATATCAGTGTAGGATCCACCTTGATTATACCTATATTTTCGACCAGAGCCAGTTTGGAGCCTTCACAAAATGTCAAGTCCGCTCGGTAACGGCACTTCGCTCTTTGGTGGTTACCAGTTCGACATCAGCCAGTTCAACTTTGAGGACCATTCCTCCAACATACCCCTTGTCAGGATACCATGTATCTTAATGATCGTTCTTGTACTCTTGACTGTTGCTCTACGAATAGTTGCACGACTTAAATACATCCACAAAATATTCTTCGACGATGGTACGTATACGACAGCGTTTTGATTTGTTAGCTAATGCAATGTAGTTCTCATCATATTCGCCACGTTATTCACGGTAGCTTTGGCTACGGCATGCATCGTGGGTAAGTGGGGTGGGTTCCTTTGGAGTGGAGTAGTTAGTAACATCGCAACAGCTACCACTCACGGGCTTGGCCAACATATTTGGATCCTTCCTCTACTAGAAATCCTTGAGAAGTTGAAGAGTATTATCTTGGTATGTCAACCTTCCCACTTTAAATAACTACTTCGTAGAGAGAGTTTCCATGTGACTCGATGACACTAACATGGACCAGGATCTTTACATTTGCCAGATATTATACGCCTGTGCGATCGCGCTGACAAAGCTTGCTATTATATCCTCTTATTTTCGGTTCGTCCCGGACCAAAGGTTCCACATGTGGATGTATATAACAATGTTTCCTGTTGTTGGCTTGTGGATCACAGGTAAAGCGCACCAATCCCCACCTCAAGCTATCACCACTGACTTTTCTGTGCATAGGTGTCTTCGTTACTTTTTTCCAATGCCTCCCCTACTATGGAGCTTGGGATTTTATGATCGAACGCAAGTGTATTGACTATATCGCCTATTTGTACGCGAGTTCGGCGGTGAACGCACTCACCGATCTTGCCCTTTGTGTACTTCCTTTGCCTTACTTTTGGAGGTTGGACATGTCGCGAAAGCAACGCATCATCCTTTGTATGCTATTAGGAGGAGGTGTAAGGTATGCAGTCCCACAATTCCAAGTTCAACATGTACTGAGTATGGGTAGTGCGTGCATAGTAGGAATAGTTCGCATTGGCCTTCTACACAGTCTCCATGCTTTGGACATCACTTGTAAGAAGGCCTGTTTCATTACGAATATTATCTTGGCGTTTGGCAAAGCAACAATGATGTTTCTCGATGGCTTCACTTAGAAGATTCACGTCGGCACGGATCAAGAAACAGTTGGTCAGACTGACAGCGAAAGAGAAGTGACTGACTGAGGCCTGCAGATAAGAGCGTACCATGTCTCATATTGAGCGTGAGTGAGTGCAGCCTTGGAATCATATCGGTTAGCATTCCAGCCATCCGACCTTTGGCGCGACAATTCTTCCCTGCTGCAATGCGGGGTGTCTCTTCTCCATCATCGCGAGCCCGAACCCGGCAAATCCGCCTCTCTAGTATACCACCGTCTGGAGATAGAGTGCCAATGGATGCAGATGATAAGCAAAAGGCCTCAGCATCATATGGGTCGTCACGTTCGTAAAGCCCGTGCTCAGCAATGAAACCACCACTGGTTCATTATGCACAAAGGCACAACTAGGCACCATACGCAGTCTGGTTAAAAACCCTAACAATCTTTGGACAACAAACTCTTTTTTAGCTGGATGAGCATAGTATTTCGTAAATGCGAACAACATTACCGCCCGCCATCGAGTTTGCGACAGTTCCAATCTCGGCAATCCTGCTTCATACTGGGGATTGGTCGTGCGCAGGAAGGGCCCACACAACTCTTTTTCTAGCAAGGTTCATCGACTACACACTAAGCATTTACAGGAAATGCTGCTACGTCGTGTTTGCAATCGTATTTTGCCCAGCCAGTCAGCTTTACTTGGACCCATATATCCCCAGAATGAGGAGAATTAAGCCAGCCGCAGCCTATGTCAAGATTGCCACGCAGATCACAGATCCAAAAAATAACTTTAGTACCGCTAGGAAAGCTTTTGGTTCGTATAGAGCTGTTTTGCCACCTTATCCTTATTCGTAGCGCAAAATACGTTTGGGGACACGGTGTATGAGTTCTCAGCTGAACTGCTAGTCTAGAAGCTTGGCAAAGTATGTTTTTAACACCCTGACGTAGGATCGTTAACCTATTCCGCTGACACGCTAAGGAAGCCAAGCAGCAAGCCTAAATTCCATGGCTTGCGGCGATGGGTCACCTTATCTCTGATTGGTCTGAATGCTATCAAGTTACAGACCGCCGGTGGAATATCGTGTGTCGCGGTTGGCCTTAAACAGGCTGTGTTGTTCAACGGCGATCACGGAACCTCAGGCAGTGCCGAAGGGCTGTGTTGTAAAGGGTGTGAACAGCTTGATTTGGGTAAAAGGGCCATGCAATTTGCATCGCGGGATGAGTAGTAGTACTAGTATATAACATTATGCGCCTCAGTATTTCCTCCCCCCAGCCAACCAGTCAGTCGATATCGAAGCCCCCAACGGCTTTCATACCAAGCCACTTAGTCAAAAATCCTTCTTTACCATTAAACTAACCACATCCTCCTTCGTGTAGAAACGCTACGCCTTTAAATTCTTTCCCGTCAAAGACCAACACCAATAATAAAAGTCACCACAAAAACATCCCCAAAAAAACTACTACAAAACATCTGATCAAAGATGAAATTCATTCTACCAACAATCCTCCTCCTCCTCGCCACCCTCACAACAGCAACCCCCTCCTCCCCCTTCACCGGCGCATCAATCCAACAATGCAACGAAGCCCTCACCGCCCGCGCCGCCCACGCCTACACCGACGCGCACCCGCAGCTCGCCGCCCGCTCCAGCAATAACAACAACAAGAAGAAAAAGGGGAAAAAGACTAAAAAGCCCAAAGGAGGCCATTTGGGCTCTAACAACGATACCGAGACCGAGAGCGCCGCTATGATGAGGTTTGTACCGCCGATGGGCGCGTTGCAAGTTGGTGTTGTGGGGTTCGGGGTGCTTGAGGTTGTGAGGCTGTGGGGGTGAATGGAGGATGGAAATGGGGGGAGGCTGGGGTGGATGCCAGTTTTTGGGAAAGAGGAAAAAAAAAAGGGGGGGGGGTTATGTGGGTGAGAAGGGAAGGATTGGATTGCTTTCATGCGAGATGGGTTGTAGTATGTATGATGTAGTGGTTTTCTGCTTTCTGCTATTATTGTAGATGAAACCGGTGGATGGTTGCCGATGACGGATGTTTTTTTTCATGATACTCCCCGTGTTTTGGTAGCTTTGCGGGATACTAGCGGTGTAATATATTTTGGTTCTGCGATTATGCTGCTTGATGGCGAGGGGGATCTCAGTGAGTCTATCGTGTAGTTCACTTTACGTTGAAGCCATAGGTTTCCCATGCTGGGTGCCATATCATGCAGTGATTGTGCTTCGCTCATCCCCAAGCTGAGCTGGTGTTCGTGAAGAGATTTCTTCAGTACCGAGATGGCTGAGCCTCGTTGTGTGGCGGTGCATAGCTGTGCTGTGGTGGCTGTTCAGCTGGCGAAACGGGAAGGAGGCTGAGGCAGGAGGTGGCGCTTCCAAAGTCGTGATGTACCATTTGGCTTTTGTGATACGATCCCCTGTTAGCCATCGAATGTTTTTCTCCTGAGATTATAGAGCGCTTTGTAAGTCTAGCCCTTGGTATGATAGAGCACTAGTACCTTTTCACTCTTGTAGGCACATGAGTCAGGCGAGATGAAGAACGTGTTGTGAAGACTTTCAAAACATTAACATTGGTATCGGTTCAACGAAGTTAAGAAAAATAATGACAGACGCCATACAATGCAATCGTACGCCCCCTAACGCTGCGCCATGCGGTCCTCGATAAACGCTCCCAAAAAGCACTTTTGTTATTCAAGCCCAACATTTCGATTATACAGAGACATCTGAAAAATTAAAGAAACTTGTTCATGATCTTCTTCCATCCGCTGGCAGAGGATTCTTCCCAAGTCTCGGAGATCTCATCCTCAAACTTTCCAGTGTGGATGTCGGCCTCCGCAGGGTTAATGAATTTGCTTCGGGTAATGATCTTGTGTCCGATGTAGAGGACAGCGAAGAGGATCAAACTGATGTATGCGATGAAGAAATCCTCGGTGCTCCAGGGAACGAATGCGGTGAAACCTTGAGTGATGGTGATAATGGCACAGAAGGTAACACCGTAGATGGCGAGAGGGCGGCCTCCCCAAGACTTGAATGGAAGGGTGTCGCGGTCGATGTTCTGAGCCTTGAGTGCACGCATGAAGGCGATGTGGCAGATCAAGACACACGTCCAGGCAATGAAACCAGCGACGGAGACAATGTTCAGGAGCCAGTTGAAGGCTTGTACGCCGTTGGAGCTGAGATTCATGTAGGCTAGTAGACCCATGGCGCCGGTCAAGGTGGTTGCCCAATATGGAACTCCACGCTTGCTGGCGGTCTTGAGGAAAGCAGGAGCACACTTTTCCTCTGCAAGACCTACGAGAATGCGGCTTCCAGAGTAAACGTTGGAGCTGGCGGCTGAAAGAACGACAGTGAGCAAGATGGCATTGAAAATGTCGGGAAGAGCGGATACACCGGCGAGCTGGAAGGCGATGACCATTGGCGAAGATCCAGCGTTTGTGTCGCCGATTTGGAGGGATTCGTTGTCATAGGGAATCAGAATGCCGACAAAGAAGATAGTGAAGACAAAGAGGATGAAGATGCTCCAGAAAGTCTTGCGAATGGCCTTGGGCATAGTCACACGTGGGTTGGCTGACTCGCCCGCACCAATGGCGCAGAGCTCGGTACCTTGGTAAGCAAAACCAGCTTGGATGAGGACGGCCCAGAAACCAACGAACTTCGCAACGGGACCCTCAGCAATGTACGGGGCGAAGGCGCCAGGTGAGTTCCAGTACTTGAAGCCAATGTATCCTTGGGCGCCGACACCAGCGTTCATGCAGATGGCATAAATCCAGAATCCAACAAGGGCAACGACTTTGATCAGGGCAAACCAAAACTCGAATTCTCCGAAGATGTCGACTGGCAAGAAGTTCACAGCGGTGATAGGAACCCAAAAGATGGTGATGAAAATGCCGATGCTGAGATCAGAGTTCCACCATTGGATGATGAGACCGGCAGCTGTGAGCTCGAGCGCATAGGTGATTGACCAAGAAAACCAGTAGATCCATCCCATGGAGAAGCCGAGCGAGGGATCAACGAACCGAGCAGCGTACTGAGTGAATGCACCGGAGATGGGTAGGTAGGTAGCCATCTCAGCCAAGCTGAGCATGACAGAGTAGACCAGGGTACCAACGAAGACATAAGCCAAGAGTGCTCCAACAGGGCCAGCAGTTGCAATTGAGCCTCCACTAGCGATGAAGACACCAGTTCCCACTGTTCCACCGATAGCGACGAACTGCAAGTGTCGGGAGGACAGCTTGCGCTGCAACTCATCCTTGGGCGCGGCAGCCTGCTTCTCGACATCGCTCCCTGAGCGAGAAATCGACTTCTCCGACCGCTGGTCCATTTTGGGCGTTATTTGATCAGCAGCGGATGCCATGATGTTGTTGGTACGTCAGCGGTGGACCCGGCGCTTGGGCTTGACGATGGAAAGACAACAACGAAAGAATTGTAATTGTGTTCGATCAGGATGAAGCGCAAAGAAGCCAGGACCATGGACAATATTTCAATCAAAATGGACGACCCCAACAGTGGAGTCATCGTGCACCACTCCCATGACCCATTTCGTTAGCCGTCGGCATACTCCACGCTCTGGAAAACCTGTCGACTGTCCAAATTTTCATCCTAGGTCCACATGGGGGGCGACTGGGTTGCATTTGCGCGCAGGTTGAACCGTGACAGTAGCATGATCGAAATTTTCGAGACGGCTACGAGCGGGCCTCCGGTTACTGCTTTGCGACTGGCTTGCACGCGAACGTACAAGCGCGTTGCTTATCTACGGGATTAACGACGGAAATGTGTCCCGCCCAGGTCCCGACGGTTCTTAGCTGGAAAAATCTGCAGTTTAGCTGTGTCAACGTCGGGGAATGCGGTGGCGGCTGAATGCCTTTGGGTTTAGCGTGAGGGCCGGGCCTTTGTCGGACGAGGGCCTTGGCGTTGCGCGAATCAGATGCTACTCTATTCCAACATGATGTTGACTCCATCACGGCATTTCAGGGGATATGTTTTCAATCGAATTGACTCACTATCAGCGTTGGAAGCCTGATGAGAATTCTTTTCTCACTCAAAACTTTCATCCGACATCCCACGGCCACTTCGATTACAACATTGAGCTTGTCATGTGATGTAGTAATCTCTTGCCTTTCAGCCATATACAAGCTGGCGATGATGAATCTGACTAAGGGATACAAGATCTTCTAGCGTTTGGAAAAAAAGGGGGGGATCCATTATGAGGGCCTCGCTAATGTGATCGAGTATTGAAAGATGCTAACTGTAAAGGTGTTTGAAGAAACACTACTTGACCATACTCCTTCTACGGGATCAGCATCTCAGGTACGCGTTGTTAATAGAGACCATATGTAGCCTCCACTTTCTCCAGATCTGGAGAACGCGTTAGCTATTAGTCATAGATTGGCTGTAGTGTAAACTAGCCCCCGGATTGCACGAACTCATTCCACCCCAGGAAGCGTAGTGCGGCTGGTGCACTGAAGCTGATTCGCAGCCGAAAACTCGCCGCACCGGCCCAACATGTCGGTGCTAAATCTGGGGATCACTTGGTATCTGCATGTGTTCTGGAGAAACCTGGGGTTTGTGCATTAGTTCTGCTGGCTAAATTGCTTGCGTTCTCGTCTCGAACCTGTCCCTGTCGCCACCACCTCTTCTCAACATAGAATATTGTTATAGATACTGGCCAATCATAGTAGCATACGAAAGGGTTTTCCGATCACTATTATACGGCTAAGTCTGTGCATAGTACACGCAGTAATTTATTAGCCGACATTTGGCGCAGCTCGTAGATTTACCAGGCAGACATCTCATAGCCTATTCATCGAAGATGTCGACTGGAAAGAATAATTTCACGTGAAGTGATTAAAATCATAACATCACGTTTAGAAGAGATGATAAAGTTAAAATACACCCAGTACGTGTCATTAGAGTAATGCAACGTGGTGGAGCAAATCTCAGACAAGTCAAAAACATCGACTGTAGATTACATTTAGAACCAGCGGCTGCGATTTGGTGAAAGTATGAAAACCCAAGTTAGAAGTTTATATGCCTTACTTAGTGAACTTTATATTTACAGGGAACGTCTAGCGAATCAAATATGGTGACAACTAGAATTAGTCAAGTTAAACCTCACACACATTCAATCGAATTGCGCGCGCTGTATGAAAGACCTCAGTTTCATGTCTTTTTTTTTCGAGAAAGTCTTCCTCGGACTAAAAGTGAGTATTGGGAAGTAACAGAGTTGAGAGGCCACACTGCATCCTTATACGCTGTTTTCGTCAGCCCCCTTTTAGTGATGGTTGAACGGAGACCGGATCCAAGCATCAAACGTAACCGATACGAAGTGAGACTACCAGATGTTGTTCTTAGCTTCATACAGCAGTGCGCTCAGTGTGTTGAGCTTGGACAAGGAACCTGCGCTATCGATGTAGTCAAAAGAAGTAGCACCGACGTTTTCCCGGTGGAAAGTAAGCTGGGAGATCTATGAGCACTATGAAAGTGCCGTACTCTGTTAGCTGAATATATATGAAAGTTAGAGTTAGCATATGCGCAGATGGTTTTGCTGTGAGGAAATGCATTCATATACTCTATGTATGAATCTAACGTAGTGATGGTTAAGGACGGCTGTCATGTCAGACCACATCTGCTTTCTACCCCGTTCAGTTTCGCCCGAAATGCTGTACGAGTATCCCTGTTTTCGATGGTAACCAAGTCAGACGATGGCGGAAACCAACGGATACTGCTGCAGTGGACATAGTGGCCAGCGACTCTTTGCCCACGCGACACCTTCCACCAAATGATCTGTTGATAGACGATCGCAATAGGCGACACGTAGTTGCTGATGACGAGGCTTCCTGAATTTACCCTTGGTGCAGCACAGCTTGGGCATGGCCTTCTTTGACGATGATGCAGGAGCACAATTGGCCAAGCACTATCAAGTTTCCACGTCGCAAAGCCTCCAACCATGTTAATTGCCTCAGCCTCCAGATCGCCCGCTCCAAGTTTCCTTAGACGGTACGCCACCACAAGGTATCATCCTATCCTCGCGGAGACAACGGCGCAAGGAAACTCATGACTCGCCCTTGGTTACTTTTGTGGCGTAGGCGCCCAGGATAAAAAGGCTGTTAAGTTGCTGAATTGACAGCAACCATTGGCCAAGGCGACTATAATGATGAAATTGTTGAGATGCTGCTGCGCTATCCAGGAACAAGATTGAGGCGTGACGTAGAGAGGTGCAAGCGAGCAAGGGCTGTCAGACTGTAAAGGGGATAGCGTGGTGGACAGGTGGGGCACAATGTCCGGCTGGGCATGCAACGGTCCCTTCCCTCGTCCTTTGGCACAACAGCCCCTGAGACGGCCCTATTCATGCTGACCACGTCCTAGGAAGTATTTTGAGACATCAGCAGCGAAACAACAGTCACAAAGTGTTGAAGGCATACAGTCCCGGGTTACACAGCATGAAGGCAATGGCGCTTCACACCGTCCACAAGTTCAGTGACGCTTGCGAGTACCTATAAGACCTCATCCTTGCTATACCGCTCGGCTACCGAATCACCACCAGGTTTTACTGATGTTCTGCATATTGTTCGAAAGCCAGTTCTCGGATCCCATTCGTCAATGGGCCGTAGCTCTACTAGCTCCACGTTTCCCATCATGTTCTGGATGCACCCCTATCACCGCCACTTGCATGGTTCAATCAAGTGTCGACAGTGCTAGACAGCACTGCTTTCGCCACTTTTCACCGTTGTCAACGATCATCTCCCGAAGATCTACCAATTGCTAAAGAAAGAAAATGTACGCTCATTTGACCGTATGATGGGGGTTATTTCCGGGTCTCGCCTCCGCATGCTTGACCTTTGGATTCACAAAGGGGGTGATCACGATGCGGTCCCGTATGTTATGGCGCATTGATGCATTCACTAAGTATACAGCCGTGTTCGCCGTGAACATGGGCTTCGAACAATGCTTTTTGTACGAGTTTGACTTGGTCAAGTTGCCGGAGATGAGTGCTATGCGACCTTGTAGGCCATGTACTTAGCCGATTCTCGGCTCCATCGACGTCACCAAGGCCATAGCCACAGTATCTAGATGGTGTCCTGCTGTCCTATGGGAGGGCGTTGAGAATACCATAATTTCTCTATACGGCTGACAATACGGTCATACATGGCGTACGCATACACCGTGGCAAGTCTACGCGCCGGCGCGCAGCCAAAAGATGCTTAATGTGTAAAGAATGCCGTGCTAAATGTCATATCCCTACCGTGTACAGCTAGACGTCCGGCATAGATCTACATTTTGTGGCTATTCACTCACTAAATGCAAAGAACAGTTTAGCCGGCACGTTTCAAGATCAACAGACCCAACGGGGTCTCCGCGCTCGGTAGCAACCAGTCAACACGATCCGCCAGGTACGAGAGTGCCTAGGATGATTTGAGATCGACGTCACTCCTTACTAGGGTCGGACATACCACGACTAAGTTAGGAGTAAACAGGTGGATCTATACCTTTATCATCGACTGATTATGGACGTGCGTTCCCCGTTCCTCCCCTGGCCGATGACGATCGTCTTCCGTGAAGTGGCAATGTCTAATGACGATGAATGCCGCAAGTAAGAGTTGCGTGTACCTTGGAACAGACCCTGAAAATGAATACTCGTATCAATTAGTAGTCAGAAGAAAAGGTATAAAGAGAGCACGCAAGTCGTCGACGAAAAGACATCATCACATCCAACTCCACACATTCACAAGCAACCTACAACCTTCACTTTTCCAACCAACCAATCACACCTTCTTTGTCTTAAAAGATATACCAGCTTTTCCCACCACCAAAATGCAGTTCTCCATCACCACCATCCTCGCCTTCGCTGCCACCACTGCCTTCGCTGCTCCCCTCGAAGAGCGCCAGGTCGGCCTCTGCTCCTCGGGCAGCCCCCTCTGCTGCGCAACTGACGTCTTGAACCTCGCTATCTTGGACTGCGCTGCTCGTACGTTTCCACACCTTCATTTCCTCCATTCAAAAAAAAACTAGGAACTAACACCTCACACAGCTAGCGTCACCCCTGCTGGCGTCAACGAATTCATCGATACCTGCGCTGGCCAAGGCCAGCAGGCCAAGTGCTGCCTGATCCCCATTCTCGGCCAGGCGCTTCTCTGCTCGGATGTTAACCCTACTGCCCCTGCTACTTCTGCTGCCTAAGCGCGGAGTCTCTTAGAACCCGCGAGTAATGTATAGTACCTGATTGGTGTGTTTGTCGGGTAGCTTTTGAGAGTTGTACAATACTTTTGTTTTTGGATTTTTCTAGAGAGGTAATAGGGTTAGTAGTGAGTCTCTAATTGAACTTTCACATGGACGATTTGGTACTTTTGCTTGGGATGTTATGATCTGAGTGAGACTTGTTCCATATGCTTTGACATTGTTCAGTGCATAGTGTGTGCAGCGTGTTGTGACATGTCTTCTTCACTTCATGAGGACGGATCAATTCTGGAGTCCCGCTAACACAACCATGCATGAACATAACTTCATGATTATCATAACGTGCGAAATATGAAGTGTCTTTAATTATGAAGTGGCTTTTAAACTCATTGGGGGGTATCGTCTAAGCAGCGTAACAAAACAAGAAGAGCAATAATAAGCAGTAAAGAGCACTAAGAAATCAATAAGAGCAAAAAAACGCGCTGAACAATCAAACTCCCCCCTCAAACAAAAAAAAACCACGCACCCAGTCATCGTAACCCAAGAAAAAGAAACCCCCTTCTTTCAAATCTCAACATCCGGATATTTCTCATCGATCCTCAACCACTCTCCACTGCCCTGCCTCCACGCCTTCATCAACGGCTTATACTTGCCCTGCCCATAATACCCACAAAGCCTCTCCCACACCCTCGCATCCTGCACCACCGCATCGCGAAAAAAAACACACGCATGATACCACCTATCTTCCGCATACCACTCGGCCAACTCATCGCAGCGTTCCGTGAACTCTGCCGCTTGCACAATCAACTGCATGACTTCGCCGAACAACGGCGACATGCCCAAGTCGTCCTCGCAGGGCTTCTCGCAGTCGAGCGTTTGGAGGCGCAGGATGGCGGCCGCGCGCTTGAAGTCGAGGGCGGCGGCTTCGAGGTGCGATTTTATGTACGGTGAGGAGAGAAGGTCGGTGTGGGGAGAGGGGAGGGAGAGGCGGCCCATGGTGGAGTGGCCCCAGATTTTTAGGGCTGCGGCGTGGGGGGTGGGGAAGGAGAAGGAGCGCCAGGTTAGGGTGAGGAGTTCGGGAGTGGGTTTGGTGGACCACTTTGGGTCGGTGAAGTCGATGGCGTTGGGGTCGACTGGGGTGGGTTTGGGAGGTTCGGCAGGTTGCTTCTGAGGTGGTGGTGGTGGTGCGGGTCGTGATGATCTTGTTAGTAGGGATTTGGATGTCCTGTTGCTCCTTCGAGAGGAGGTGTTCACAGGAGTTGAGAGTATGATATATTGAAAACTGAATGGAGCGGGTTGCTTCTGTTGAGGTGGTGGTGGAGGAGAAGGAGGAGGAGGAGGAGGAGGATCGGACTTTTGGCTGGGTTTCCGATAAGAGAAGTTTGCAGGGATCGACGACATTGTGTACGTGAGAGTCTTAGGGGCAGGATCCGACTGTGGAGCAGAATGCTCTGGCTGTGGTGGTGGTGGTGCCGCAAAGGAAGAGACTTGAGCCACTGCCGTTTGCTCTTGGAGTTGAGGCTTAGCCTCAGCAATAGTCAAAACAGGCTCCGAGACGGGCTCGGGCACAGGTACTGGAGCAGGGACGGGTTCAGGCTCCGGGATAGACGGCGGCACAAACAAGAACTCACTGAGGAGTTCTTCCACTCCAAACCAGATCGTAAGATTGCGATACCTTCTGATGAACTCAGGCATCCTGCTGTCCGGGTGATGAAGGAAGTCCCAGCCGTATGGCGATAGGGCGCCCCAGAAATCGACGATGGATTGTCCCCAGACGAGATAGCCTGTGGGAATACCACTCAGTCCATCTGGAAAGAGTGGCTCCAGATACTCCTTTGCTTCACACAGAAGGTTTAGTATCAGGCATGCCGAGAGCTCGTATCCCGAGCCAGTGGGAATCGTGTGAAGAAAGGTGACCATCTGCTCCTGAATCTTGTGCTCCTCTTGAGCAACACGATTCAGGGCGTTCACCCGTATAGTCCTAGGGCTTGGAGGTTCGGGAAGACGTGGGGTTTGGAGAGGGGTCTGTGGAGGAATTTGAGTACTTGCCATTTCTGGGAGTGAGGACAATCCGCTTTCCTTAGGCGGGGGTGAAGGGGTGCTGGGACATAGTTGAGCTTCCTCAACTTCCTCATGTAGAGGTTCAGCGTCTTCCGCGACCACCGAGACACCTTCGTCTGGCCTCTTCACATCCTCCATCGTTTCCAAAAAAGCACTGCCTTTATAGGAAACTGGAGGAATGTGTCGTGGGCGTTCGACGTGAAGGTTTTGGCGAGATGGTGCGAAGGAATCGCCCGTCCCACGGAAGTGCTCGAAAGGAAAGTCGTACGGCGGGGGGTAGAGCGCAGGTACCAGCGGGTCAGGGCGTGGTGGTGATGGTGTGACAGGAGAAATTGGAGGGGACGTAGGGGCGATTGGCATGTTGGCTTCAACTGATTGTCTGTCAGTGTCGAAGTCTTCGTGATGCTGGTATGCACGGTTGAACTAACCATTGTCCAGTTCGTCCTCTTTGTTGAGAAGGTAGATACTGAGGGCGAAGAAGAAACCCATTAAAATGAGTTTGGTGATGATCGAGAGAATCAAACTCTCCGTGAAAATGTCACAGATCTCATCGTAAACCTCCCAGTACAGGAAGTTCATGATGCCGGTGTAAACGCTGCAAAGCTGAGAGATAATAGCCCACATTTTGTCGGTGACTTGTGGAGTTGGTTTGGATTGTAGTTATATAGAAAAAGAAGAGAGGTATGAAGAAGTGTCGTAAGTCGGGGGGATTGCTATAGTTGAAGCAAACTTTATAGTTGAAGGAGAGGTGGTGCCTGGCGGCGGGACTAAAAGCAAGATATCCAAAGTGAAGGTGAAAGGTCTGTGCCGAATCATTCTTCACCATCGCAACAGTGTTGCCATTGTTGTGTGGGAGTGAAAGTGAAATGAACGTAAATAGAAAGCTTGGCATGATATCCGCCACGCGTGTGGAGCAGTGAATCGACTAAAGACTAATACTGCAGTTGGTTGATAGTGAACCGCAATGACCGCATTGGTGTTCAAACGGCGACGATGTTTGAGAGAGGACATGATCAAGTCAGGCGTGAAGCAAAGCGGTGTGGAAGGACCAGAGGCTAAGAGCATTCTTGAATTCTCCTCGATAAGATCTTACAGTGGGCTTTCAAAAGCGTCCGATTCCTTAAAGCGACAAGGAATGCTTACGTCCTCATCTTCTCTCAATCTGCAAATCCAATGCTTTTGCCAGCACATAGAGCATCTCAAGCCTCACGCACGTGACCCCTTTCTCCTTGCCTATCCTGACTGCATTGCCGACGATGGCCTCCACTTCTATCCTCCGGCCGGCCTGCACGTCTTGTAGCATACTTGGCTCAATGCCAGCATTGTTTGGGACCCTAGCTTCTGCCCGCCCAAGCTGGATATCGACCTGCTCTCGTGTGATGTCATGGCCACATGCGGCTGCGATATCCCGGATCTCCAGCATGACGGCCCGTAACACCTCAGTGGCTTCATTTGAAGCTGTCAGAACCTCGGTATCTTTGCTCAATGTAAGGGCACATATCGGGTTCCAGGAAGCGTTGACCAAAAGTTTGTACCAGCGCATGGCTTGAACATCATCATAGAGCTCGGCAGTAGCACCGGCAGATGTTAAAAGTTCTGCGAAGGCTTTGGCGTGAGAGTTGGATGAGGAAGATGGATAGGCTCCCAGCTGAAGTTGCTCTACCTCTCCATGTTTGATGACACCTGCTGGTCTTTGGGATGCGGGAAGATAGACAACAGTGCTGATGATGGGGTTATTTGGGTAGGCCTGCATGTACTCTTCTTCAATACCGACTCCATTCTGTATAAGGACAATAGCCGTGTGCCCAGGCGTCACAGCAGGGGCTATCAGCCTGGGCACAGTACCCGGGATGGCTTTGCTGCAGACGACAATGTAGTCGTAGGGCTCTGGCGAATGGGACGATGCTTCGCCACAGTCGCGGACAACGTCTGGCCTGAAATTGATGTTGCTGCCGAAAATGGACGAGTTGATAATAAAACCATGTTCCTTAACAGCGTCGTAGTTGGAGCGGCAGACAGCCGTTGTGTGGGCTACTTTGCTCAGTAGGTACAGGTAGATGGCTCCTACGCTGCCGGCTCCGAAGAGGAGGACCCGTGGCTGGCGTCCGGATGACATGATAGGACGCTGGCGATGGCTGGCGAGCGAATGTAAGGTAGGTATACACAAGCTCGCTCTCAGTGGTCAGAGCTGGCGAAGTTGAAATGCGAGTGCCGTCGTCTTCCCCGCATCTCCGCCGCCCATGGCTGTTGCCGAACAACTCTCCACCACACTCGCCCCGTTTCTCCATCTCGCCTGGAATTCAACGATGCACGAGTAATTCATCTGTCGCGGGCCATCAATGCTTGACCCGGCAACGATTCGACTCGGAATAGGAGTAAGTAATTCAACACCTTCTCCATACACGGTCACATGCCAAAGCTGCGCTGTCGTCCAGTTTCAGCTTGCCCACCGCCCACGTACGTAGTATGTCTCATCGCTTCAGCTGACAACTCCAGCTTCAGCCGCACGCGCATTAGCAAGATGCCACCCCCTCGATAGATATAAACTCCAGCCATGGCCCCATGCATCCGAGAGAGTTTCCGCCTAATCCATCCAAAGTCACTCAAAGCAAAAAAAACAGAGGTGCATCCACAGCCGCCAAGTGGGACGCCCGAGGTGGGTCAGTCACCCTCATGCAATCTAGCAGGCCACAGTTAATTAGTGGAAGTAGCCACACACCCTGAACGCCAAGCGATAAACAGAAATCAGGCCCCCAGCCTACACCGGATGCGGTCTTGCATATGCTGGGCGCCTCTGTAGCCCCCAAGTTGTACACAACCCAAGTGGTGCCAGAGCCGACACGCCAAATCGTGTCTTAACGGCGGCGGTTCGGACCGGTTTCGTTCGCGCTCTTGCACCACCGCCCTTCCTGAGAGCGCCACCCTCATCTTGTTGAGAATGAAGTTCCTCACGCTCCTGGCCCTGTGCGCTACCCATGTTTTCGCCGCCAGTCAACTAGCCCTCTTCACCGATGACGCCTGCCAAAACTCGCTGCGAGGCCTCGAAGGCCCCAATGGCTATCCCAATGGTACATGTACCGATCTGCGACGCACTGGGCCATACGGCAGTTTTCAAGTTGTAGGCCTGGATCCAGGCTGCACTGGTGAGTCGAAGCCATTGATCATGAACCGGGAAACGCGCATACTGATACAAAGGCGACTTAGTCACCATCTACCAGAATGACACCACCGAGAACATCTGTTCAGGCTACCAAGAAGTGATTCAGCCCATTGATTGCTACAACTCTTCCTTCGTATACTACAGTATCGACTTTTGTGATATCGTCAGCACCCAGTCGCCAATTGCACCACATCCGCCATCTTCAGGTTCCTCGGGCATATCTACAGGCGCGGCTGTTGGAGCTACACTTGGTGGAGTCGCCGGACTGGCAATCATCGGCGGACTAATTGCATTTTTCGTCTTGAAGAAGCGAAGAGAGGCACGGAGAACTCCAGAAGTCGCAGAGTATCCACCGTCAATGCCGTCCGAGGTACACGCGAAACACCTGCATGAGATGGGACCGGGCGCAGTCGTGTACAAAAGAGATGCGGCAGTGGAGGTTGAGCAGCCAGCTGTTGAGCTTGAGGGCAGAGAATTGGGGACTGATGAGGAGTCGAGGACTTTACGCTCATGAGATGCCGATTAATGCACGAGTTTGAGTAGACCTGGACTACTGCTAATGGCTACTTCAACTGGAACAGTGTAGTTCGAGAATACTGCCATGGTTTTGTGCTTGTGTCGCATGGACTGAAATTGCCCAAAACCAACACGGTCTTTAACAACAGATACACACATCCTGATGTAGCCATGTTGAGCAGCAGCGAAGCGCTTTAATGTAATCACGACTCACAGGCGAATACCCTTGCAGAGAGAGCCTTAAACGCAAGTCGACGAAAGGGATAACCATCGCTCATCATTGCCATCGATGATATCCCAACAGCATTTTGCAGCATTGGGATTGCGAGATGTCGCTTCCAACGACGTCGACCGAGTCATGGCCCCAAGAAATCCTTACCGGCCAAGAAACCCTCGGCACGTTGCCCAAGCCGGGTATACAGGGACAAGAGAAAGGCGCAGCACGAGTGGGATGAGCCAAGGGTCTTGGAGTGACATGACTTTGCAAAGTACATGTGCATGCATGATACGAGCCTAATGCTTTTTTTCTGGCATTTTATCAATTGCCAGACGTGTTACTATTGTTGGAAGACACGGTTCAGTGTATGAGAGCGGGAAGACACTTGTTACCAAACTAGGTTTAGTGTAAATGTTATTAGGATGAGCAAGTTCTTCGGGGCCTTAACGATTGCCTCCCTTCACACACACACACACATCTATGGTTCGACGATGGCCAAGTGCCCCACCACCAGTCCCACAAATACCCCAGTATGCCAACATCCATAGTGCAGAATGAATACTTAGAAACACGTCAGAGAACTTCCGTTTAGCATCAATGTCTTCAATTGCAAGTGTGCTTAGGAGCTGTGAACGCATGGTCTTCGCTAGATAAAACGCCACATTGCGCATGTCATCAGCCGTGTCAAAACTCGGCTATCTAAGAGCAAGGGTCTCTGCGCATGTCATGATCTCGGTCTTTCTCTGTCGTGTCATTGGTGATCTAGACAAGGTGCAAGGAGAATTCCGCATAGTTGCAGCAATGTGATTGGTTTCTTTCTTTTCATAGTGATAGCAGACGATGCGCTTGGTATCTTCGACTCATGACACACTTTTCGGCACATGTACTTACTCGAGCGTATTGCTTTCGCGCTCTGGGTAACCTGTCGAGTCAATCTGGGTATTGGTAAAGATGTCTGCTTGTAGATCAGTGTCCTCCGTAACACGTACCGATACGCTGTCCTCAAAAATCAAGGCATCCCAAAGATCAACTTTTGTATCCCGGCGAGAAGCTCAGAGAGTGCTATTCTACCAACAATCAATCACTGATGACTGCTGTTTGCAAACAACATAGATGACTGCCTGTTCTGGGTAGAATAGCACATCTTGGTAAACCTTCTCAACCTTGTTATCTCTATCTTTTTCTTTCCTCTTTGTAGTATTCATGTAGAGACATTGTGCGAAGAAAAGAAAGCGACAACCCGATCTTGAGCCCGTGAAATGCTACACTAACGTTCTGCCTGTGGGCGTCTCTTACTATAATGCATTGTATTCTATCAACATCATTTCTAAAATCGGTGTGCCGAGCAGTCGGATGTAGTAGACGGGGTTGGGCTGTTCTTGGACTACTCTCCCGGTCCCGATACCTAGACGAGGAAGCTCACCGCATGACAGTCATTCTTTACTAAGCCTATGTCGACTTTACGATAAAGTAATTCGTAAATCAGAATTACTAAGTCAGGTTACTAAATAGCAATTACTAAGTAAACTGCACCCATTGTTCAATGCCTATCCTTTTCTTGCCCTATGCGGCATGTTCGGTCTCGGCCAATAATCATTACTACTTTTAGTTCCATTTTCCAGTAATCACCGTCTTCGACAGCTTTTTCATTCCTGCCCAAATCAGTATGTTGAGCTGTCCAATCACTACACTCATTTTGATTTCCAACCTGCTAAGACAGCCATCGATGGATTTTTGAGACTACCCAATCGGGTACGCTGAGCTTTGGCCACCACTAGCGATCTCGAAAGTTTTGGGGATTGGGTGCAACGCCGCACTGATATCGCATTCCATTCTCGCCACGTGCGTTTCCTTTTCTTGTTTATTCTCAATTGTTGCACTGCGATTCGTCTTCAGTCCTCCATAGTCGATGTCTTTGTGCTCGCGCACAGTCAGAGCAGTATCACGCTCTCGCGTCCCGCCACTGAAAACACTTTTGCCATTCCTGTACCAAACGACAACCATCCAGCGATGTCAACACGTCACACGACCAATTGCGCGCCGCACCATTGCCCCGCGATCACGTCCGGACGATGGCCATGATATTCCCTTCGTGGGCGATGGAGATGATATTCCTTTCGTGGACGAAAACCTACCACCTTCTGTCGACCACGAACCTGCACGAAAGACAACCATAACAAGTACTGAGCGTGCAGCCTTCCAGAAACTCTACAGGAAGTTCGACACTGAGGGACGGCAACAAAAGGAAAAGGATCATCTTGTGGAGCTAGACCAGATAGCGGACGAGTACTGGGAAGATGACGAAGAAAACCCGAAGCCGTCCCTGGACCAGATTTTCGATGAGGCTATGAGCGGCGAATCGCGACTCCGGTCGATACGTACGCTTGCTCAGCAAAGAGCGGGTGCTCAGTCAGGGAAACAAATCGAAAAAAAATTGGACAACGTACGAGGTGGCAAGAGGAAAGGCTTGGGCTTCGATGCAGCACAGCTGAGAGAGATGCGTTTAGCAGAGCGACAGAGAGTTGACCAGCTCATTCGCAATGCACCCACTGACCGCGAGCTTTGGCAAATTCTCGAACGCGAAGTGTTCACCAAAGTGCGTGCACTCGATCTCGACAATGCTAATGCTGGCGAGAATAAAGCGCCAGCTGCAGAGTCCAAGAGTAGAGCGCGGACAAAGAGTACCACACGGCCCCGGACTGTCACCAAACCCGATCCACCTTCTCCTGAGCAGCGCATCCTGTTCCAAAACTACCCCCACCATCTCATAACTACCGTTGCCACTCTCCGCTCAGAGTTCCCCTCCTCACTACTTCCTCTGTCAATCTTACCCACAATCAAGAGTCTCGGTCGCTCTGCCCACGTCCTCGGTGCTACAACAACTCTTTACAGGCACCTGATACGCACAGCCTGGATCCAACGATCCTCTTTTGCCACAATCGACACTCTACTCACCGAAATGGACAAGATTGCCATCGAGTTCGACGCTGACATCCTTACACTGCTCGACGCTATTCTCAAGGAAAGCAATCAGGCAAGAAGCGGCATCTTTGGGCGAGAGCTACAGTTGGTGTACAGTATGGAGCTGTTTGCTGATGAGATGAGCAAGATTGTGAAATGGAGAAGGATCGTGGTGGAGAGATTGGGATTGAAGAGTGAAGAGGTTAGATTGAATGATAAGGTTGTGAGGAGGGTTCTGCAGCACAGAGGGCCTGCGATGGTTGCTGAATCACATGAAGATAGGAAGCATTCTTGGATGGAGACGCAGGGTGATGCTGTCGGTGCAGTGGAAAGCAATTCAATACTGGATGATGGTAGCAAGGACAACGGAGTGTCTGCTGAGGCAGCTGAAATCTCTAGCAATGCTATTGACGAGACTAACGGAGCAGCTCCGGTTGCAGAGGGAGACGCAGCAGCAAGCACCGACGGCGAGGAAAAGAGCAGTATCGCTGCTGAAGACTCGGTCGAACAAAAGCGCCCCACTGAGAACGATGAGGCACCCAGCGAACCCACCAAAATCACATCGTAGATATATCATGTACCATAGTGTAAAACTATATGAGCAAATCACAACCACAACCACAATCCAAGTCAAGCACATTCAATTTCACTCCTGCAAAAAAAAACATACTTATTAAAAAGAAGTAACAGAGAAACTCCATCGCCCCGCCCCCTCCCTAAATACCACCCCCATTTCCATATTCATATTCGTATTCATACACCCCAATCCAGTTCCTTCATTACCACGACTTACAAACTCTCCCAACCCCCATTATTCACATCACCCTCCAACCTTCTCGCAATAAGGCTCTGCACGCCACCTTCAAGCCAGACCTTCCTCAGCAGCGCATCGTACCGTTTCTGATTGAGGAAAAGCTGGTGGTGACGGCGTAGAGCAGGGTCGACTTCACCATGCTTGTCGAGATACGGGGCGACATGCCAGGTACCGTGGTCAAGGTTGAGGAAGAGGACCATGCATTTGCGGATGTGGATGAAGAGGCCGATTTGGCCGCCGCATCTGTGGTGGTATCGTTAGTAAAAGTTCCTTCTTTTTTTTGAGATATTGGAAAGAGGGAAATGTGGGGAAAGTGTAGGGAAAGGAGAAAAGGGGGTTAACGTACTTAGCTAAATGCTGATTACAGCCTCCACGATTCTTATTCGTCATGCAGCATACAGCTTGGCTACACATGATCTCGCCGCAGAAGAGGCACAAGGCAGGGTCCGTCAGTTCTTTCCCAGTCGTTGGGCAGCGGCGGCGTATCGCTTCGTCGGTGAGCGTGTCGTAGTTCTTGGGCAGGCCTACGAGCTCGAAGATTGCGGGATGGGAAAGCGATATCGTGGGTTGGAGGGGATTGTTGCCTGCTTGAGCCCATAACAAGTGTCGCAGCCAGCCACCGACAATGGATCGGGTGGTATGAGCTGCGCTTGTGCGCATGGTAAATGAGGCAAAGATTTCGTCCAGTGAGGGCAGATGGAGGATGGTAGATAGTCGTGCGAGTTCGGGCTCATCTGCGCGTTCGGTGGAAACGTGTGGTAGATCGATACCGTAGCGGACGTGCATTAGGATTGCGGCTTTGCGCACAAAAGGTAGCGCATATGTCGAGACCATGGTGTGTATGAAGTAGAGAAAGTTTGGATCCTTGAACCGTGGAGGGATAGGCATATTGTCGATATCGAGCGAGGAAGGCGAGTTGCCCACATCGGTCACATTGTAGATGACGCAGATAAAGAAGAGCAGATTGTTCATCTGCTCTGTTGAACAAAAGCTGCTGCTAACCTTTTCTGGGTTTATGAACTGTTCAGGATTCGGGAAAAGGAGGTCAGAGTCCAGTGACATCTCTTCAGTGGAGCGATTCTTTCTACCCAGAGCAAACACAAAAATCACTCGAACAATCTCTGCGAGGTAACACATCCGCATGATATGGTGAATGTCGAGATTCGCCGCTGAAACGATGCCGACAGCGCATTGAGAGAGGAAAATGAACGGATCCTGGCAAAGCAGAGGTGTTATGCCCTTGAGATCGAAGCTCAACACATCCGGGTCATATATACTGGGATGTCCAACTAGCAACTGACGGAATTGCCGGCGTTGGATCTCAGAAAACTCATTGATAGTCTTGGTTGGACCCTGACCTCGTAGACCTCCAATCGCGATGTATGAAGAGACACTTTCTGAAAATACCCGGAGATGCGTGATCGTCTGCGGGGAAATCCTGTCAATCAGAGTTCCGCGCGCGGCTTCAGACTGCACGCCTCGTTGAGCGATCTCTGCTGCAGCGATCGAGTATCCAAGGGCTTGCGCAAGGGCATCCGTGTGTGTAAAGTCCTCTGAGATAGCTGGTGTATGTGGGTATGCGAACGAGGACTGAATGCTATTGACTTTCAATGTGTCTCTCAATCTGTGATATATCTTGATCAACTCTCCCATGGGAACATCCTGGGTCAAAGCCGGGCTGGTTTGAGTTGGGCCGAATCCTGCTTCGGCGGCTTCCAGAGGTTGCACACCCAGGAAAGCCGGGACCTGAAATCGTGGCGCAAGCTGTGTTGGCGGCTGTGCAAGAGCGAGACCAGCTGTCGGAAGTTGAGGCTTGAGAAGGTCAGGCAATCGACTCGATACCGGTTGGATAAAATTCCGCTCTGCATACTCATAGAGCATCTTCTGGTCATGAGACATATCAGCCGGTACTTTCAAACCCTTTTCCAGGCTCTTGTGAGTCGTGAGCAGTTGCAACTCGAGCCAGTCGTCGAATGTTTGTTCAGTCTCCAGTACACCAGTACTAGACACCTTCTTCGCTTTCCAGATGATTGGCAGAAAAATGTTACCAAGGGCTTTGCAAAGTGGGCACATGAACTCCTTGAGCTCAGGCCGTTCGGGGTGGTTCCTGGCAATCTGGCTGACATGACGCCTCTGGGTTGCATTGAGATATACCTCAAAGCAAGCAAAATGCATGATGTGGCCACAACCAGTGGTTACCGGGCCTGGTGTTACAAAGGCTGGTAGGAATCCCCTTCCCAGCTCTTGCCTTTCACTAGTCACTCGCTCACCCGTGGCCGTCACCTTCTCAATCATGCGTCGGTTTTTGCCCGCAACGCCAAATGGTCGCAGGTCTTCGGCGGATCTGTCAAGACTACTTGGAGTCTGTACGACTTCGTCCACCCACTCTGAATCTTCTAGGGGTGTTTGCCGAAGTATTCTGCTCTCGGAAATATACCCAAAAGATCCATACAGTCTCTGTTCGTTGCAGTCCTCTTGACATAGTATGCATGTGCCAGAAGGGAATTTTAGTGTCTTTTCTTGTTCGACAAGTCCCCCAGTTTCATCTTCAAGGTCACTGAAGTCATCTTCACCCCAGTCGAAGTCCTGATTTGCCAAGAATTTGCCTTGTTGCTCTTTGAATGCTGCCATGACCTTTGCCTGTCTCTCAAGAGCTTGCTTCTTCTTCAACTCCTTGGATTCCTTATCTTGAGGTGCAGGGGAGGCAGTGTCCATTCTGTCAGCCGGCATGTTGATTGCAGCAGCAGCAATAATGAAGGAATCCTGCTGTCGCTGCTTGAGCCGATGAAGTATCAAACTGATCTTTGGCTCGCACGCCTTGAAAACTTCAATGTCCTGAAGAGACTTTAAGATTGAAAGGACAGTCGGATGGCCCTGTATTCCCATGCTGACGTTTTGAGTTAACACTGAAGTGACAAACGACTCTGGTGCTTTTTCAGACCATCCATGTTCTGTGCTTTTGTCTTCAAGGATAGCGACAAGAACCAACTGTAGGACAAATTGAATATACGTCTCCACACGAGTTGGTGGTATGCTTGGTGTAACTTCCGCAGCCTTGAGGCCATACGCTAGTAGGTAATAGATGATCTGGGTGAACAAACTGGTTCTTGTAAAAGCTGACAGATCTCGAAACAGGCCAGAGGGGATTGGTCGAAGTTTCGGCTCGTAGACGATGTCACTCGCTTGCTTCCCGGTTTGCTTAGCAACGTATGCCTTGTATATGTTTTCTGCCTCTTCTCTCTGGTTTCGGTTGTATTGGTGAAGATACGGGTCGATCAAGTCGATATATTGCTCTTTCAACTCGAAGGTACCACTGTCAGACAAGCCCTCTGGAGCTCGGAATCTAGTCATTTCTGACAGCACTTCAGGAAACTCGTCTAGGTTCTGAATCCGGTCTGACAAACGTGCTGTCATGTCGGAGAAGGAGAGTGGCTTGAAACACAAAACATGCGCTATATCCTTGCGCATAGCGACCAGTTGAGATTCGTCATTGTCTTCTGCCGGTATCAACGAAGTGCGCTCGCTGAGAATAATAATCAGCAAGTGAACAAAGTCCTCTACGACATCAATAGCTTGGCTGTCCTCGAATCCATGGTAGCTAGCTTCATATCTCCCAGTCATCCAGCCGACAAGTCCGAAACGATCGACCATGGAAGCTAAGAAAACTGAAGGATTACACAGGACGAGAGCAGACTGTAAGAGGAAGATGTCTCGTTGGTGAGAAACGTCTCTCTGTGATACGCTTCGGTATTGAGTCATCTGATGTCGCAACGTGATGCCGTTCCTAACCCAGATTCCTGCGCGCATCTGTGCCAGCCACGAACACACACGAAGCGGGAAATCGAACATGGCAAGTAGGTAGTCTTCAGGCTCGTGGACTGGAATAGGCGCTACAGCTGGACCGAGGTCCATCTGTAGTTCGATGTGAGAAAAGAGAAGTAGTCGCAGGATGTCTTCCCGATTCATGCTCCGTGCTCGATCAATTAACCAGGACACAGTATAATGAAGCGCATGGTGAAAGCTCATTGGCTGAGTCGCAACAACGTAATCAACAATCTTGTATGGTTGTCTTGCAGATGACTCGGAAAGGAACTCGAGAATGTCCAAAGTCTTGAACTTGGTCTCTTCTTTTAGTTCGGTCTGATCAAAGCGTTTGCGTTCGGCACCTAGCGAGTTGATGATAGCAACCTTTGCGGCTGCACGTATCGCACGTTGAATATTGGTTGGATCTTCATCGCGAGACCAGGCGAAAGATTCTGCGAAATGTCTACACAGCTTGTTGATCTCCCGAGTGATCAAGGAGGCGCTGATCCAAGCTTCAGATTCAAATTCTAGATGCTCACCCACTTGCCGAACGTTAGGACAGATACCTTGATGAAGCTTGACAAGATCGAGGAATTGTAAGAGGTAGCGCGGCTCTTCACGGATTCTCTCCTGGACAAATTCTGATCCGAGGAGGTACTTCATATCGAGGAAAAAGTGGTACATGCGACGATTGGTCACAGCTCCTTGCTCGAAGGCTAATGTCGCTTTTGGATCGACGTTTGAGGGATAGCCGACTTGACGCGTAGTCAGAAAGGTATAAAGGATGGCCATTAGATTAGTGAGGAAGTTTCCACGCTCAACCACCTCTGAAGTGATAGACGGAGTCGTCAGCATCTGGAGAGAGAGGTTGATAATGGAGTGGTCCGGCTCGCGGTCCGCAATTAGATAGAGCTGGGCTAGAGCAGTATAGACGCCCGCAAAGCGTAGGC